AAAAATTAGATGTTTGGTTGGTTTTCTTAATTAGTAATCTGCAGTAATGAAAGGAATAAATAAAGATGTTCCTAGCTAAAGAATATATATATATTCTTTAAATATATATATAAAGAATATATATATAAATATATATATATATATAAATATATATATAAAGAATATATATATATATAAATATATATATAAAGAATATATATATATAACATATTATATTACCAGAACTGCTGTCACATTCTTATACTGAACAAACGAAGGCTAAGAAGCTTTCTGAGGAAGGTTTGCTGCAAACTGACAAAAATTACATGGGTGAAGTGAAGAAGTATGTAAGATGATGATATATCTGGCTATATATAAGTTAAATAGGATGTCCTGAGCTTGTTGATAGTAAAATAATCTCAAATAATAAGAAAGTATATCGATGGAGGCAGTTTAGGGCTGATTTTTTTTGTGTGATGGGTTGCTCTGGAAGCAAAACCACTGCTGCCTGACTTCTTGGATCTTGTCTTGTAGACCTGCTGTGGGTTACAAGTTGCCTCATTCCTTTGAAACCTCTCTTTCAGACTGGGCATTACTCACCTTAGACACTTTCAGGACATTCAAGGGAACATAATTACCTTCGAGGTCTTTATATAGTAAATGGCTTTTCAATCTGTTGGGCGGTTTCAGACAGACATGGAGTGACAAAGAGACAGAAGTCTAAAGTATTGTACTTCTACAAGTTCTGTGTTTTCCCTAAGAAAAAAGTATGTATTTTGGTCAAACTTCTAAATTAAGGGCAAGATAATGTGTCTCCAGCATTTTATGGCATATAAGGGAAGATTACAAAATGACAAGGGGAAAATAAGGCAGGAAAGATAAAGAGCCATGTAGCCAAGAAGAAGGAAAAGGATGGGAGAAATCTCTTATCCTACATTAACACAGAGGATGACAGAGTGGATGGTGGCTTGGAGCCCCATTCCAAATTGGCAGAGGCGGAAGTTGAATGTGCCCTGAAAGAGAAAGCTCTGAAACCCAGGGCTGAATCTGAGCCAGTGTGTTTCTGACAGGATGTTGGTTTGTAAATATTTCGTTCCAAATCCAAAAAGGATGAAGTGGATAGAGGTTGATTATGGAGGAAAATAATTTTAGTTTCTTGCAAGTTAAACATGAGAAGAAAAAAAAACCAACTCTTATTTTAAGGAAAAAAAAAGTGAAATTTTGACTAGAAATGAAATTTTTATTCACCCCAAAATATTTTCAATGGACATTTTACTTAATTTTTTTTTTCTTAGTAATGTCAGAAAGACTGTGTGAATTTCCAAATATATCCTATTCCATCCAAGTAGTGTTTTAGTACAGAAAAATATTTGGGTAAAATTTTTCCAATCTATTCTAGTTGCAGTTTATGTCCAGATTAGAGGCATATTTTAGAAGAATCTTCTCAGGTGCCAAGAACAGAAGAATCCCTGGATTTTAGACAAAAACACTTGCCTTGTTTTGACTGGTCAAAAGAAGAGATCAGACAAAACTGAACTTCCCCCAAATTAATAACTTTTTTGTTTTTTTTTTTTTTGATTCTTTGGTAGAAATTACATCTTAGACTCCCATAGCATATGTTCTTGAATGTGTTTCTTGGCACTCCTGAAGGGCAGATCTGTTTCTTACATGCTTCCTGCCTTAGTTTTTTCTGGGGAATTAATTTTTTTCCTGGATATGTGTGCAGAATTCCTATGACAGCCATAAGTTTTCCTTAATATCATTGTATACACAGAGCTTCTGTATTAATACCGAGTTTGCTACCTGCCCACCAGCAAAGCCATATGCTAGCAACAAATGTTAATTGATTATCAGTTGGGGATTTAGTCCTACTCAAGTTCTAGATGGATAGTATGAGAAACCTACACCAGAGTTAATGTAACATACTCTCTAGTTCTGTAAAATTGCCTGTCTGCCATAGATTTATTCCATTACAATCACAACACAAAATGAGGTCTGGATTTGTTTTAGCAGATTCTTTAAAATTATGGTTTGTTTTCTGGTGTGGACTGACAGGAACCTAGAGAATCAGGGAGGATGAAGGACACCTCTGGAGGACATTGAGTCCAGCATCCTCCTCAAAGCAGGCATAGTTAAGAGACCAGAATCTTGGCCTGGTGAACCTTGAGTGCCTTCAAGGGAGAATTCCCAGCTGCTCTGGGTACCTATTTCACTTTTTTACCATCCTCACTGTAAAATTCTTTCCTTGTAGCATGTTCCCACTTGTGCCTGTTGCTGCTTGTTGTGCACCTCTGAGAAGGATTTGCTCTTGTGTTTTCCTGAGCTCAGGTGGTTGCAGACCAGCAGCAGGGTCTGCTCTGCTTCTTCTCTGGGTATGAACAGCCTCAGATCTCAGTCTCTCCCCTCATCCCAACCACCTTGGCAGCTCTCTGATGGACTTGCCTCAGCTTCTCAGTAGATTTCCTGTCACTGAAGAGCCCAGGATGGGACCCCACACTCCAGAGGAGGTCTCACAAGCACTACATAGAGAAGAAGGATCACCTCCTTTATTCAGCTGGTGATTAACACAGCCAGAGTGCCATGGCTGGAAAGACTCACTGCACAGTCTTTTTGAGTGAAGTTACTCCATCCTGGGTGCAACTGTAGGAATAACTGATTAACCTGGAAGTGTTGAATTATCTGCGATCAAGAGCTGTTGGGATAAAAAATGGAAAAGTGTTTGTTCTAGGGTTGTGGATGGGAACACAGTCATAAAATTGCTCTAAGATTATGCGGTCTTGGGAATGTCCTGCTCCTAGCCAATGGAATCCAGGGCTACAAATTGTGCAAAAATTTGTTCCTTACACATAACTTCACAACAGCAGTGCCCAGGCAGAAGCAAAGCTTCAAACATTTATACTTAAGTCTGATTTTGTACTTCAAGAGCACTTGGAGCAAAAAGCAAGGCACATTCTACAGTCTTCCAGGGAACAAGGTTTGAACAAAATATTGCTAAATCTATGAACAAGCAGCAGAAATACTTTTGTTAGTCAAAAAATTAAGATTTAAAGGGTAAAAAGTATAGTCAAGGAGACAAACAAAAGGAAATAGTTTTACCAAAACCCGGTGTGGAATAAAAGAAAAAACCAAAGAACTGAGCTGCATACTCATCAAAAACACTGCTGTTAATTGAAAAGCTGACAGACCTGTAACTACAGCAGTGCTTCTGGCCGCCACTATAATAAATGTAACTGTACATTTAGAGTAATTCGTTAATTTGCCTAAGTAACACCCACAGACAGCAACATGACATAAATACATTAGTGGAAGCAACAACTATAACCAGCTCATACAGGTTCTTGGCTGCTAGATGGATGGATCAGATGAGCTGGAAAAGATTTACCAAACAGAACAGAAATGGAGTTTGTAACAATATTGTGGGATACAGGATTTCTTTATTCCTTTAAGGCCTGAAGATGCCCATACATATCACAGCATGTAAATAACATTTTTAGCATGCCTGTGTATGTGTGTACACACCTAGAAAGCTTGTACAGGTGGAGTACACATCTGCTAAATTCTAAGTGTCTCAGAAGAAAAACAGAGAATCCTTTCAGGTAAATCATTGAATCTTGAACATTTAACATGTAATTTTAAAAATCTGAAAAGAGTTTTTATTAAATATTCTAAAGACACATTTGTATTTGGTCCGTAGGAAAGACTGGAACCCATACCAATAGCTTTCCTGATAAAGGTGTCACAAGCATCTGAAATTTGTACTTCAGAATCACCCACGTCTTCATATGACAAAGTTCAGTCCTGTGTCACCTCCCTAAGGCTAGCACTGTTTTGTCTTTGGTTTCAATTACTCTGAATCACACTGTTGCATTTTATTCTGAAGTTCTACTCATACCAGCTTTTGCCATTGCATATTAACTACTCCAGGTTAAGCTTGGGCCATTGCTAAGGATTTTTATGTTATCAACAATGGATTTCTAAAATTAAAAGCCCACAAAATTACTGTTATGCAAGGAAGCTTTAATTTTCAATAAAATATTTCTTTCTGGTCCCAATCACCTCTTCTGACTGCCTTCATTCTGATACAAATTAATAGTCTAGAAGCAGAGCTAATGAAGGCAGTTTTGCACAGTTTCTGTATTTGTTTCCTCCCAGATGTGCTTGGGAGGTTTGTGCTGAGCTGTTTGAGACAGACAGTGCCAGCTCTCAGGGGCAGAATCCAGTGAATAACCAAATGTGGAGTGAGGTGGAAAATTTCTGTTTCAGTGCTGCTCTCAGGAAGAGCCCACGTGTGTGGGCACATATATTCTTGCCTTCATCAGGAGGTTGTTCTAAGGTTTTTCACTAAATACGGGTTGTAAAATATTCTTGAACATGAGTCACTTTAAATTATAGTCCATGGAGCTAAGGAAGTCACTGAGAAAATGGAGCAGGGAAAAAAACATGGGATAGAGGCAAATGGTGAGATTTCACTACGGGATGTGGATTTATGACAGCCAAACTGAATCCATGCCATTCTTGAAAGATTGGTCAGGGCAATGTCAGACAAAGACCTCTCTGGCTGACCCAAGTTCTGGGTGTTAGACCTCATCAGTACAGGCTGACAAAGACCTCAGCTATGGGAGAACAGAGCTGACATGATTTTATGAAGAATTACGGCTGATCTTCTTTGAACCCTAATTTCTGTCAAAGAGTTATCATCACTGTCACAGTAAATGATACTTGCAGCACAAATGGCAATTAACTAGAAGTAAATAGTAGAGCAGAAGTCTGCAGACTGGTTTTTAAGGTTGATAAGTTGAAAGTAATTTCAACACATTAATGCTAAGCATGCTAAATCATAGTGTGCCATGAAAAAGACAGTAATGTCATTTACCTGAAATCAGCAGGAATTACAGTAACATGTAGTAGGCTCAATTGTTTCAAATATGTGAGTATATTACAGGAATCAATAACACTTTGTCTGTTTGCTTTTATCAAGTTTTCCATAAAACAAGTAATTTGTTTGTTTTTCACTGTTTTAGGTAGCCTGCCCTATGAATACAAGATTGTGATAGCAGGAAATCATGAATTGACCTTTGACCAGGAATTCATGGCTGACTTAATCAAGCAGGACTTTTACTATTTCCCCTCTGTTTCTAAGCTGAAGCCAGAGAGCTATGAAAATGTACAATCTCTTCTAACAAACTGCATCTATCTTCAAGACTCTGAAGTGACGGTGAGGGGATTCAGAATATATGGCTCCCCTTGGTAAGCAGGTTTTTAAGCATACATAAAAAAAAAATTGTTGATTGCTATCACATCAGCTATTTTGTCTGCATCAGCTGTATTTGGATTGCTGTGTTAGGAAGAAAAGTAACACTCACTTTGATAAAGTTCTTATATTTTCTTGTAATGAATTGTTCCTGTGACAAAATAATGTACTGTACTGTGGGTAGGTATGGTTAACCAGATAATGATGGGGGAAAAGATGGTGTACTCTTCAAACTCTTAGCCAGGAGCAGTTGTTTAACAATCTATGCAGGGGGCTTTTATGTCATAAAATATGTTTTCTATCCTTGGTGAGTTTATTTAATTATAGGTTAATTTTATTGCAAGGGTACATTCTTTTGACCATCCTACAGATAATATTGGAGGTTCATTAGTGTATACAGTAGTCATTTAACTCAGCAAGCTTATTTCAGCAACTCTGAAGGGCTTTAATTGCATATCCCTCACAATCTTACTTTCTTTTGTAATGTAATAACTTTCCCCAAGGTCTAGCTGAGCTTCTAAACTAAAGTCAACAACTCAGTAACAGCTTAATATTTCATGGATTTTTCTCTACTGCATAGTGAACACTTAGAACCCCGTGACAGTACTGGATGCAGATAGACTTTAGTTCTTGACTTCCTTGTATGTGCTGCTTCTGGGTCTCTTACTAATGTCACATTGCTGTTTATTATTTCTGCTGATAGGCCTGTAAATTTGGTCTTTTGTGAGCATTTGGTATATGCTTAAAATAAGCAAAAATGTATTTTAAAAGGCAGGGTTTTAAGGGAATATATTTTCCTTCCTTTTAACATCACATCAGGCTGAAATGTAGCAAACAAGTTGTCAAACCTGATGCATATACCCCGATGTGAATTTTAAGTGTGAATAAACTGTGAAATCTCTTGGAATTTTTTTCTTTTTTAATGAAAATTGGATTTTTCCCATTTGGTTACTTGAGATGGGTGCAAATTTTGTCTGAGCTTATTATTTTGCATTTGTCTAGATTAGTTTCCCTCTTAAATGCACCCTTCTATTTCTTCCTCTCAGACCTCCAGATCTGGAGACCTCCAAATCTTTTTTTTTTTCCAGCCTGTCAACCTGCTCTGCTGTAATTCATCTTCCTCTTGTGTTTACAATGTATGTAGTCAATGAACAGTTTACTTAATTTTCCAAATTATTTGGGAAGATGTTAGATGGTATCAGTCCCAATATTAACTTCTGAGAAATGCCACTTGGCATCTTTTCCCATTTTGATGTTCAACTGTAAAGATTGTAATTATACTCTGTTTACAATATGTCTGGCAACCTCATATCTTCGTTGCAGTGTTAGTAACCAGGCACCATATTTCCAGTGTCAGTAATAATTTTCCAAGCAGTAAAGTCACATGGAAGTCTAGAGAAATTAAAGCAGAACACTATCTATAAAGTAGCACTATGTAGAGGCTAAAGAGAAGCATTTGAACTTTCTGTGTGTGATTATATCTGCAAAAACCTGTTGGGAAAACCTTTTGTTCACCCACTAACCCATAAATAAGGTTTCTGTAAAATCAGCTCTACCACATTCTCTTTGTGCACTTATCCTGTCACTCTGCACAAGTTGCTTGAGCTATCTGCCATGACTTATCCTTCAAGTAAAAAGAAAGCTTTCCATCTTTTCTGCAACTCAAGGTTACAGCTACACTTCCACACTCCATTTTTCACAGTGTTGCTACTCATCTCCCACCGCCTTATGGTCCAGTAAGTTGAGTGTTGTGAGGTCTCCTGAAGATATTTGCTTTTTCCATCTGGGAGAAAGTCTTGATGAAAGTCTTCCAGCCAAACCGGGTTTTTTCACTCGCTATTCAGCAATGCTGAATGAAATTCCCACACCAATTGATGACATGTCCAGTGGAAACATCAACAGTAGAAATAACAGCCCTTCATTAATCTATCAGGGCAGCAGATGCAGAAGTTGCAGAGTCTCATTCAGCTAGCCCAACAATCAGAAAGCTTGGGAAGACAAACAGCTGTTTTGTGGGGGTTTAACTAGCTGCTACTGGATTTCAGGCAGTAGTATACTTATGTGCCTAGTGAGCACCACTGTTCTTTGGCATTCTGTTGCTATACTTTGTTTGCCCTGAAAAGAGAGGTTTGTTGTAGCCTCTCTGGGAAATCAATCTCAGTTTCTTTCTACATCATAGTAATGTAATCTCTAAAAAGGTACAGAAATTTGATGAACTTTACATGGTGAATCTGTTTTTTAGACCTAGCATTATCAAGCTAGTCCATTATAAAATATTTATGAACATAGTCAAGACTTCAAAATTGAAAATTCTTTAGGGTCTCAGAACTCTTTAAGAAAGTTAAATTTCATGCAATTGCTTGTCGAGTATCCTAAAATAATTTTCTTTTTCTGCTTAGAAAATATGCATCTAGACCTTCCATTTCTGGCTGCAGCACTGAATTTCTGTGGAAATAATTACAAGCTAGAGATATCCCTTATGCATAAAGCATGTTAATCAATAGTTGCAAAGTATTTTGAGAATGATGGAGTAAGGTCTGAGTGAAAGCCAAGCAGCATTAACTGAGTGTCTTTTGCCTGTAGCCATCTGCATTTTTACATATAACCTGTACACATTAAATTTTACTTCTTTTTAAAATGTTTTTGTTGCAAATTAAACCATGAGAGCTTGATTGGTTTGCATAACATGCCAGTCTCTAACATCTTTTATATATGTACCATTTGTGCGTGATTAAATATTTTTAATAGCACTTGGTATTTTGTCCTCTATTACTATCTAAAACTAAGTGGTTATTTTTAATTGTGCAGAAGAAATGGGACAGTGTTTTGTCTTAGACACCAATGCTCTAACTCCCCTGGGCTCCAAGGGCAAGAATTCAAGTGCTAGATTAAATCTCTACTCAGTAACGAAAATTTAACTGTCTTAATTGTTAATTACTCAAGTATTATCATTGAGCAGGGAGCTGCTGTTTTGAAATGTAACTTGCAATGCACAAAAGCAGCTTCTTCAGAATTAGTATTTGCAAAAGCCGTATCTTGGACCATGGATTATCAGGATAGATGATAAGGAGGAGAACTGTAAAAACATTAGAAGTTCCATGAGAAACACAGGAATACCAAGATTTTAAATGTGTCTGGAGCAATGTGGAATGCAAAGGGTAGCTCCGTTTGGCCTAGGGGCATGATGCTTCTCACAGTGCATATAGGGATGGCTGCCAGATCTGGATGAGCAGGGTATCAGTAAGAATGCAATGTGCTTCACAGAATCCCAGTATGGGTCAGGCTGAAAGGGACCACAGTGGGGCAGTTGGTCCCACCTTCCTGCACCATCAGGGCTATCCCAGAGCACACAGCACAGGATTGTGTCCAGATGGTTCTGGACTCCCCACCCTCTCTGGACAATCTGTTCAGTGCTCAGTCACTGCCCAGGACAGGTTCTGCCTCATGTCCAGGTGGAACTTTCTGGGATCAGTCCCTGCCCGTTCCTCTGGTGCCATTGCTGGGCCCCCAGAGCAGAGCCTGGGCCCTGCTCTGAGCCGTCCCTGCTCACAGGGACACCCAGGGCTGAGGACCCCTCTCAGCTGGGGAGGAGCTGACCAACCTCCGCTCGGGGCTGGACAGCCCCAGCTCCCTCAGCCTTTCCCTGTCAGAGATGCTCCAGACCCTAAATCATCTCTGCAGCCTCTGCTGGCCCCGCTCCAGGAGCTTCCTGTCCCTCCAGCCCAGGGCTGGACACAGCTCTCCAGATGTGCCTCACAGGGCTGGGCAGAGGGACAGCATCACTCCCTGAGCTGCTGGAACTGCTCTTCCCAGTACACTTCCTTCAGTACAGTTCAGATACTTGGAACTGTTGGGTCTTCTTCAGTATAAAGGCTGGACACCCTGATTTTTTTATTTGTTTTTTCAAAAACTAGTCACAAGGAAATGCACTTGGGTTTCATTCCAGCAAAAACTAGGGCATGGCCAGAACATATTCGCAGACCTGGAATATCTTGTGCAGACAGTAGCCGTAGTTGTTGTGATTGTAAAAGAGAAGACTTTAGTTCCTCAATAATGTTTATTGTGAAATGGAAAGCTTCTGGTTGAAAAGTACTTTTAAATACCTGTTGGGAAGGTAGAATTAGAAAGAAATTATAAATATGACTCTTTAGCCAGAAAGGCTAAGGAAGAAATGCAAATGAAAGCATGGTTTGAATAATTCAAAGAAACCGGGCTGGTATGCCAGAACACATGCTTTCCCCCAGTAAAACTAAGCTGAGACCCCTCTTCCCAGCCTTATAAGGAAAGGTCTGAAGGAGGACCCTGAGATAACTAAAAATATGCAAAAGCAGCGATTTCTATAGGTTGCACACAAATGTTACTGTATTAGTATACTTAGAAAGATTGGTTAGTAAAGAAATAGAATATTCAAAGGTACAGGTTATATAAGTAGTTGTATAGGAGAGCTCAGTCTCTTTTTTCCCGGCTCTCTCACTTCTGTTCTGTTACTCTCTTTCTTAGCTATCTTAAGTCTTGAGCTCATGTATTCATATTTTACCCCCTTTTGTATTGTTCTCTCCGAGCCTGCTTTGAGCTCTATCTGCTGGCTCATAGCAAGCTCTCTCTCTCTCCTACGCCCTGCAATAAACTACTAACACCTAACTCGACTATAGAGATCTCTGCCGTGTCTCAGACCATCCACCCTCTAAGTATCTCTTAAAAATACCCTTCTTGTTCTGAACTGTTAGGAAGATAGATAAACAGATAGAATAACCCAAATAATTCTGTGTAATCCATATAATTAGGGCTAAGAATTCCCAAGGATGAAGCCATTTTCTAGAGGGTTTTAATTTATTTTCCATTAACAAAAAACCCCATGTAATAGAAGTAAAAATATAGCAAGCAGGAGCACCAGAGAGATGGCAGAGAAAACATTCTTAGGTGTTTACAAGACTTGGCTAGACAGTCATGGCTGACCAGATCAACTGGTGGTGAGAGGCAGTGAGTGGTAGGTTGG